TCGAGCGAGGCCTTGAGCACTGGTAGTAGATTTGTTTTCAATACACGGCTTAACATCAGATATTATACTGTTTATCTCACTGTAATGTTTATGTAATGTTCGAGCGAGGCCTTGAGCACTGGTAGTAGATTTGTTTGCAATACACGGCTTAACATCAGATATTATACTGCTTCGGTGCTGCTGATTTGATAATCATAGAGATGATCTCAGTGGACCAAAAAAGTCAGATGTTTTGTTAATTTGATAATTCTATAGATGTTCTGCTATAGCTGTTTGTATGATTGATACCTGTAAACATTGAGAATTAAATCATCGTCTGTAATGCATTCATTAATATCAAATAGCTACTCCTAGACGAATGATAATTGCTACTTCTACAGGATTCTTGTTCTCCATGTTGACCGAACCCCACCTCATTTTTTGGTTCTTAGTTTGTCGATTTCCTACACTTAACATAAATCCTTGTCTTCTGTCTGTACAGGACGGTGAGGGGCCGGCAAAGGCATCTCCATTATCAGTAAGTAACTGCATTTTATTCTGGAGCAAATTTGTGTATCAAATTCTGTGCTGAGTTCTGATGTCTACATACTTGCTGTTGCCTATGTAATTCTTCTAAGATTTTGGATCATCAAGCTTTGTGTAACTGCAACTAAAAGCAGGTCCTGATTAAATACTTTTGGAATTCAGAGCTGTCTTATTTTTGTGCTTGTCGAGTTATGACCTTGTGGTTTGTAACTTCATATGGAGATAGAAGCTTCAGTCTATCAGTCATGAATTGAAGGTTTTGTTTAATTCCATTTTGTATAACTCAATGCCACTCAGCATTGACTTTCCTCAGGAATACAAAGCCTACTGTGTTGGTCCACTGCTTGTTTACACCTTAAATGCATTACATGAATTTCAATGGAGAGAAAATATTTTTGGTTGAACTATTTGTTATATTCGGTTTTTGGTTGAAAGAAATTGAATGTTATTTTTGTGGTTAATTTGAATCTTTTTACAAGTAAAGTTAGTTGCTCCAAAAAAATTTATATTAGTTTGTTCTGACCCCCAATATATATGAATTATTTTCTTTTGACGGCAGTGGTTCGAGAAAAAGATGTTTGCTGGGAGTATGCCGAGAAGTTAGATGGAAACAAGGTCAGATGCAAATTCTGCTTCAGAGTTCTGAATGGTGGCATTAGCAGATTAAAGCATCATTTGTCTGGACTTCCCAGTAAAGGAGTGAATCCGTGTAGCAAAGTAAGGGATGATGTTACCGAAAGGGTGAGGGCTATAATAGCGTCACAGGAAGAGGGCAAAGACACTCCTAGCTCTAAGAAGCAAAAGCTAGCAGAATCTAAATCTCCTTTAAGTATCTCTGCAAGCAAAATTCTCATGTCTCCAGAGGTGGCATCTCCAGCTGCAAAAAATTTTCCTTCTGTCACGCAAATCAGTTCTTCCCCTGCAAGTGACCAAGAAAATGCAGAGAGAAGTATTGCTCTGTTCTTTTTTGAAAATAAACTGGACTTCACTGTAGCCCGTTCTTCATCTTATCAGCAAATGATTGATGCGGTAGGGAAGTGTGGTAACGGATTTAGAGGCCCAACTGCAGACACTCTGAAAACTACATGGTTGGAGAGGATCAAGTCTGAAGTGAGCTTGCAGTCAAAAGATATTGAGAAAGAGTGGGCTACAACAGGTTGTAGCATAATTGCTGAAACATGGACAGACAACAAATCAAGAGCTTTGATCAACTTCGTAGTTTCGTCGCCCTCCAGAACCTTCTTCCACAAGTCAGTGGATGCATCTTCTTATTACAAGAACATAAAGTGCCTTGCTGATTTGTTCGACTCTGTAATTCAAGATTTTGGCCCAGAAAATGTTGTCCAAATAATCATGGATAATACTCTCAATTGTACCGGAATTGTGAATCATATCTTGCAGAACTATGGAACTATTTTTGTTTCTTCTTGTGCTTCCCAGTGCCTGAATGCAATCTTGGAGGAGTTTTGTAAGGTAGATTGGGTGAACCGATGTATCTTACAAGCACAAGCTATTTCGAAGTTCATATATAATAGTGCATCGATGCTTGACCTGATGAAGAAGTTCACTGGTGGACAGGAAATCATTAAGACAGGTATTACCAAACCTGTTTCCAACTTCTTATCATTGCAATCTATGTTGAAGCAGAGGTCAAGACTGAAACAAATGTTCAATTGCACTGAATTTTTGGCAAATTCTGCTTGTGCAAATAAACCACAAAGCATGACTTGTATTGGCATTCTTGATGATAATGATTTCTGGAGGACAGTTGAGGAGTGTGTTGCTGTTTCTGAGCATTTTCTTAAAGTGATGAGAGAAGTATCTGGAGGGAAACCTGCAGTTGGGTTTATATATGAGTTAATGACCAGAGCTAAGGAGTCAATAAGAACATACTATATTATGGATGAGATTAAGTGCAAGACATTTTTAGAAATTGTAGATAAGAGTTGGCAGAACCACCTACATTCACCTCTACATTCAGCAGCAGCATTTTTGAATCCTAGCATCCAGTATAATCCAGAAATCAAGTTTCTTGGATCTATAAAAGAAGACTTTTTCAGAGTTCTGGAGAAACTGCGTCCAACTCCAGAACTAAGGCGGGACATCACCAATCAAATTCTTTTATTCACACGGGCAACAGGAATGTTTGGTTGTAACCTCGCAAAGGAAGCAATTGACACAGTTTCACCTGGTACGTGTTCAATTTTTTATCACACAACAGGCTGTAAGGTTGAATTTAGGATGCTACACTCCTTTTTAAACCTTTTCTTACTGCATGTGAGTGGAATAAGTAGAAAATAAATATTCAACCTGAACATGCTCTTCTTTTTCTGTTTTTGTCCCCTCTGTCCATCTTTGGGTAGTTTGTGGCATCCTATACACTTATTACTATCCCCATCTTGTTTCCAATCAATGTGCATTATACATCATGAAATATTAAGGTTTCCTCAACTTGATGAAAAAGATTTCTATCCTAGTCAATGAGGCTCCCATTTTCCATACAGGAAGCTTTTAGTACTGGGCTTTTGTCTTGTTCTACACTTAGTAGAGGTATATACAAATTCTCTAATTTTCTCCTTCTCAAATCATTGGGTGGAGATATAGATCAAACTAACCATAAGAAACATACTAGAGAAGTACTCGGTTAACTCCGTCTTCTTATCACCGGTAGGCTGTAGCCTGTTGGGAAAGCAAAGTTGGACTGCTTTTCAACAGAATTTAACCATGTTTAATCTACATGCCGAAATAGTTTCAAAATCTCTTTATCTGATATTTTGACTCATGTTGTTCTATTTAAAACGAAGTTTTAGGCTTTATGATGGGAAAGGACTGAAGTAGGCTGAGCTTTGGAAGTATTTTGTTAATTCAAAATAGTAGCAAGTGTTGCTGAAATTTCTAGCAAAGGGATTGTAATGGGTGGAAGTAGGCCACATATCACATGGTGGTTGTGTTTAAATTTAGCAGCTTGGTTGCAGTAGGAAAAGTAAAATAAAGAACAAGAACAATAAGAAGAAAGAAAAAAAAAAGAAGTATATCCTGGGCTTCACTCCTAGGGTCCTAGGCATCACAACAAGGATTATATTGCATCACACTGCTCCTAGAGAGCTTCAAAACCTTCAGTGGAAAACTTCAATATAATATCTGCAGAAGGAGAAGATTGTCATGACTTATTTTATTGGTCATTTTCCACTCAATCCGGGACCTAAAGCATAGAATTTGACAGGCCAATAAAATGGCTGAACTTGTTGACCACCTTACACTCCACGTAAAGAAAATCTTAAACAAAGGAAATATTAGTGCATTCTAAACATAACTGAACATCTAGGAAAAAAAAACAGACTCAACAGCATAAAAAGCTGAAAAAACTCAAGCTAAACTTGACAATTCAAGATCTTGGTGGGTTTCTCATCGAAACAAGTTTTCCATGTTCTTATTATGTCTCTCTCTCTCTCTGGTTTTGAGTCTCTTTGGGATTCAATCAACAATACTAACTTTTCATTCAAAAAGTCATGCACACAGACATACACATCCCACTCCTACTTCGTGCCACAGAGCTGATGCTTTCGTGCTGATTCACTGAAGAAGTATTATGTCCACATTCATTAGCCTGGTGTCAAAACTCAAAAGTTGTGACAAGTTATTAGATTGCAATTTCAGAAGTCTCTTCTTGGCCTCCATGTCACAGATTCAGGCCTAATGCATGTGAGAAAGTATGTGGTGCAGAAACTCCCACACACTTGCTCGTGTCAGTTATGGTCATGTGTACCAAGTATTTATTGTAATGCTTAGCATATGCTAATGTTTTGTAGGGATTTGGTGGGAACAATATGGTGATTCTGCTCCCATATTGCAGCAAGTTGCCATGCGAATACTAAGTCAGGTTTGCAGCACTTCTACTTTTGAGAAACACTGGAGCACATTTCAGCAAATCCATTCTGAGAAGCGGAATAAGATTGATAAGGAGGCATTGAATGACCTCGTCTATATAAATTACAATCTGAAGTTAGCGAGATCATTGAAATCAAAATCTTCAGAAGGGGACCCTATTCAACTTGATGACATAGATATGACTTCAGAGTGGGTAGAGGAGACTGAAAACCCCAGCCCAACTCAGTGGCTTGATCGATTTGGTTCAGCGCTGGATGGGAGCGACTTGAATACAAGACAGTTTAGCACTGCAATATTCGGTGCAAACGACCACATATTTGGTTTGTGATCATGCAACCCCTTGTATACTGTACTAAAGGTTTGCTTTTCTCGACCTCATTGTTGTAAAATGCCTGGTTATCTTATGCCTTAACTGTAAAGTACTTGTTACTTAGTTCAGCCTTTGTAGAATATGTAGGAGTCGCTTGATAGTCATCTCATCTTGCTTTCCTGTATGTAGAAAAATAGCCGCACAAAATCACAAGCCTTGATTCCGAAATTGGTTTTTTATGTACATTTTATCTTTATGACTGTTTCATAGCTGTCTACATGATTCTTATTTGTAGTAACAACAAATACAAAAATTCTGTACAAAAATAAGAAAAATAGTCTGAGCTGTCTCATCAGAAAATTCGAGTTTTTACTAGCTTCTGGCATCAGAGGCCTTTACATCTTAACTTGTATGTGATCAAACTCCCCTATGGTTTAAGCTCGTTGCGATTTAGTATTCCATTAGGGGTGATATAATACTTGGTCAAACATCAGACAACAATGACTCGGAATATAGAACCAATTAAACGTATTAAGAGGGCAATTTGTCGATTTTGTAGCTTGAAATGCTTTTACAATAAGACTGCATAACCCTGTTCCAGGCATTTTTAGGACAGATTGTTCAGAAAATGAGCCACTGCCTTGTCTCTGTCATTGTCGTACATAAGTAAGGCTTCTGCAACTCTGTTCGATGGGAATCCCATTTCTCGCAAGCTAGTGTAGGCATTGACAAATTCTCTGACCTGAAGAAAACAAAACAAACTCAATCTCCTTGATGGAATAAAAAGTTCTTACTACAGCATTCAGATTGACATTGGCACATGGGAAGAATATGGTCAAATTCTATAAACAAAAGTTTCTGGACTGTAGTGCAGACTAAATGATCAAATGGAAGGATTTGCGCTCATTTGGCATTCACTGAATCAATATATTTATAACGTACGAAGAATAGAAAAAATATAGTTCAATGAAGACTAGAACTAAACAATATTTGTGGATACTGGGAGCATATAACACTGAGATCGAACTGTGTCATTCCACTAAAGTGCATGAACATTAAAATGTAAAATGACATGGACTCCAGGAGTGAGCTCTATGAAGCTCTATGTGTACACAGAAAAGAAGGCAATGCATATTACATACCTTGGTTGGATTGTCTCCATAATTTGCAACTGCATGAGGGACGGCCTCTCTGCTGAGACCTGCTGCTATGTATTTGCTCACTATGGGATCTGCTGTGGAACCCTGCATTTAAGTAATATAATGTCCTCTTTCAACCTCAGCATCTAGGGACAAGCTATTTTATAAAAATCAAACAAAAATCACAGAAAAAATGCTGGTTATTTGAAGGTACTAACTGAAATGTACCCTGCATTGAGCTCAGGCCATCCTAAATGAAAATACTACAAAAATACAAACCGCGTGGAATAAATCATCACACTATGGGCGGGTAATAGCTGAGCTTGGTACAGCTCAAGCTCAGTCAGAGATCCCTAACTCAAATTATGCCCACACAAAGGCATGCAAAAGAGTGGGGGTTCAGACCTTCTTAGGCAGTTGGCAGACTTAAGTATGAATTTTAAGGTTTATCCTATCCTCAGCATCAATTATGAAAGTGGCCACCTTCATTTATATTGAACCAAGGAGGCATCAATTTTTCAAAAATGAATGTATACTCGGGTATCCTAAATAAGTGTCCCACTTGGTAAACTTTTATTGAACTGTTACTTAACATTGGGTGCACCAAATCTGAAGTTCCTTTATATTGCCAGCAGTGGTAGCAAGCTGGGAAAGATATATGCGCCATAATGGCATGCATCACTGAACTATCATGAATATGCTATTTTCATAGCCTAATCCAACACCCCCACCCCAAATGAGGAAAAAGAACACAACCAGTAAACTTGCAATACTAACTAAATAAGCAAAGTACAAAATTTATTGCATGCCAACTCCAGCTCTTATATCAGCTCTACATTAGTGTTCCACCACCCTTCTACTAAGTGTAAAGCCTGATTTAGAATTATAGCATGGTATTGGAGGTCCTTTCAAGCTCCCTTGGTATTCAATAAATTGATATTCCCGATAGCTACCTTATTTCTGAACCTCAAGATTAAATAACCCGAAAAGAAATTTGAAGGAATTATATGGATCATAGTAACGTACATAAATACAATGCAAGCTAATAAAACATAAGACATCATCAACAGAAGAAGACCATACCAACGTAGATGTTGATGCTGTAGATGTTGATGCTGCAGGTTTAGATGGAAAGTTTTCCAGCCCAAGCCTGCTCCAATTAGGACTATCTGTCTCTGCTTCAGCTAGTATCTTCCTTTCTAATTCAAAGTCAAACTGGAAAGAGCTTCTCGGAATATCTCCAATATGTGGGGACAATTGAGGCTGGAAATTGGCAATTTATGGGGCAACACGTTAGATAGTGCATCAGATTATGAATGCCATTGATTAAGTTTAGAAAACAGTGCAATGACATTGAAGCAAATGTCGTACAGACAATGATATTAAAAACTATATGCCGATGAAGCATTACTAAAAAAAAGAATCACGTGCAATAAATTATTTAGCATCTGTAATCTGTAGTATTAGTTACCTAAAGGGTAATCTGGCTAGAAAGATCAAAGTGCAAATATAATGCCTTGATTGCCTTAGCCACAAAACAGACGAATATACCAAAAAGAGCACTCAAAGCCGATAAAAAATTCAATATCAGAAGATGTAAAACCTTGAAAAGTTAAGATATAACCCTCAAAAGTATCATATAACAACAATCTAAGTTTGATCCACATAGATTTAGCATCCATTGGAAGCAATCTCAAAAGACGCTTCTATTATTTACGGCTAATTGTAAAAGAGACATCAACATATAAAAATAACCACGTTGATGACAACATAAAAGCAAAATCTGATATTATTAAGCAAAAATCAACAACTGAAAATCATACCGGTGGCTTAATCCGATATTCCTGCTTAATAGCAACCCTAATGCCTGTTCCAGCTGCAAATTTGAATCAAAAATATATAAACAAACCAAAAAATTCAGCCATAACATAATTCGAACATTCATATAAGTATATGCCTATAAGTAGATAGAGAGCCGATTGGAAGTAATAGACTCACAAGAAGAGGAGGGAGAAGAAGTTGGATGAAAAGAAGGTGTACGAGCGGCGATAGGGTTGACGGAGTGACCACCGGATTGACCGCCGATCTTGGGGTAGAGGGAGGGTTGTCCGTACATCGGATGGCTCGATGACGAATTAGTTGTTTGTCTGTTGTACATTGGGGCTTGAGAATCGTACGGTGGACCCGTTCTGTTCCTGAAATCGTAGTCCATTAGATCAATGGAAGAGGACTCAATTTCAGAGAGAATTGAAGAAAGGAAGATGAATTTCGGGGAAGAAAGGAAAAGGAAGACGGAGCAAGTCAACTGGGTTTAGCTTTTTGAAATTATGGGGCCGTGTGTGCAGAGCGTGTACGATCACCGACCCAAGTAATGCGATGGGCCTGCCAGATACACTTTGAATGGGTCGGACATGTCAGTTATAATGGATCCTTAGTGTGCTCCCATTGGAATGGACTCTAATGGTTATGTTTAAAACGAGCCGAGCACGGACAATTTAATTATTTTATATATAAATCAATTAAAGTTGAACAATTTTTTATGTTTGTTTAAAAAAAATGAATATGACATATTCGACTAGATTATCAGTCCTAACCACATGCATGTTTTGGCTGCCTTCTACGTCTTAAACAGGCCTAAGGGCACTTTTCGAATAGGAATTCATTTTTTGAAAGATCCTAGTTTTCGTGTATTAGTGAGTCTCTGAAATCCTTCTGATGACTTATGTTGTGTTGAACGAGTCAAGGTTTGGAACCTAGTTCAGCTTTGGACTCTGGTGTTTCCCCCAACATGAATCACAAGGCATATATACCCACAGTTGTGAGGTACTGACCAATAAATAAAGAGCCAGAACGGTGATAAAGGGACCAAATTTGGCACCAACCTTCCAGTTCCCTTTAGGCTTTACCACATGCAGGATGACGGGCTAGACCATGGGCTGTGGACCTCTGATGACCCTTAATGGAATTGGTTCGTCTTCACCCCTAGCGAATGGGGGCGGCTAAATTATATATTTTTTCCCCCATTTTTCTATTGCAGTTTTTATAATAATAGGCCATTTTTTTTATCAGCTTGGCCAGTAAAATGCCATGTGTTCAAAATATAAAGTAGTAAAAAAATTAATTGTTTTGTTCCAAGAGTTGATTGAAGAATTATTTTTTTTGGCATTATGTTAGGAACCCCTGAATTCATGCCTTGTGATTAGATTAGTAGCCTCAACTATATTACTTAGAAAACTTCTCAGCATCAATTTTCTGGGGAATGTTCAACAAGAAAACGATCTCCTTTTTCCTGACAATTTGAAATATCAAGAGAATCCTTATGGTTGACTGCGCTCAGAAACTATAATTCGTTAAAATTCAGAGACCTCTCCAAAGCAATCGATATTCACAATGTAAACTACAACTACTATTAGGTATGAATGAAGGGGATGAAGTCAAGTATCCAGGAGATGAGAGAGCCACATAGCAATGTTGTAACCATCTCTGGCCTTCTGGTTTTTTAGTATTTCCTTCGGGATCTTAAGCAAATCCAACTATACACCTGAACATACGGCTCCTGAAACACAGATAGCATAGTTATTCAGATTAAGTGCCATCAAATACATCCTTGGGGAGAAAATATCACTTCCAGGAGTTAAATCATCCAAAAAACGAGCTCTAAGCAGCCACGAGTGCCACACAGAGCGCACAAAACAACAATGGGTAGAGCCAGATAACCAAGATGAGCAACAAACTGTATTTTTGGTTTTTTTTTTTTTCAGAGAGAGAGAGACCTGATGACCAAGATGAGCAACAAAACTTTCTGTCATCAACATGCTTTACATCAAGTCCAATAAACCAAGATCCGACACTGACATCATCATGTGCATAAGTACGAAGATTATCTCTGCAAACTCAATATAGCCAGGTATCAGTAATTGCTCAAACTATAGTTGATGGCAAAACTGCAGCTTTCAATTAGAAAAGGAACCGACCTGTTTATTGAGATAAACTTAGCCAATGCTCGGGATATGACAAACAGCTCACCTGCAGCATGGCGGAAGTACCTGTTGGATGCAAATAGTAATTTGTCAATGAAAAAATGGAAGCAGACTCCTAAACAAAGCAACAAATTGGGAAAACTTGGAACGTATTCAGTAATTGTGTTTAATAGCCAAACATGGGGCAATATTAAGGCCAAGCATCTTACAAGGGCTTCAATTTAATTTATTGGGTACAAGGAATAGTGATGTACAACTAGAGTGCTCTGAAAATTTCATAGAAAATATCAAACTTGCCTCGCTAGGAAGACACCAGAGCATCTAATCAAATTCAATTCAAGATTAAAATTCAAATGGGAATTTTACTAATCAACTGAGCGTAATCTTTTCAATTATGTCCCAAATTGACACTTAAAACAGAACTTCACATGACCTGGTTAAGTGACCAATAAACCTATACAGATATTAGTCCACAAGCTTGCTTTCCTTCAAATTCTAGTAATGAAGTATTTATATTCATTGGTACTGGAATAGAGGGGAGTAAATTTTACTCTCCGAATATAATATTCAAGAAACAATCAAATGCACCATTACTGACGTTTTGCCATCCCCAAATTTCCACCATTCCGGTTCATACCATTTCTGGTTCCTGTCAAATGCCAGCAAAACCAAATCTATTAATACAGATTGATAACAAATAGCACTCAAATTCTATATGCAACTGCTTGTGTCCTTAACCATTCATGATTGAGTCAAATTTTTTTCCAGCCAAACTCACTGTTCAGAGAAAACTTCGCCTGATTTCATGCACCCAATATATACACGAGGCTTGTCCAAATTAGCTGCTAGTGTATTACCCAAGGCATCTGGAGAAAAAATATAGAATAAGTTTCACACTTTGCCACATTCCATGGAATAAAAGCGCCTACATAGGAATAACTTGTGCCCAGAACATTATTTAATTCCGACATTAATTAAAACATTATCAGTAACGAGAATTTCATATTCTACCCATAGTATGCATTCATCCCAATTTATAACTATTACCGCCCATGTTCCTAATTACTTCTTTAACGGACATACATTGTGGTTCCACGATGTGCCAGGATTATCATTAAGTTATGACAAAATAAGCATTAAAATACTGTTATCACAGTTTCAACTTGTAGTTGCCACTTGCCACAACTTCTTCCATATGAACCACATACAAGAGGGATTGGCGGCAATAGCCACCTTCACCAAATGCCCAGATGTTCTAAACCGTACATTTTCAAATTTGAAACACAATTTCCATGTGAAATTGATTATACTTACCAATATTTACATAAACATCATCATTGACTTTTGCATAGAACTCAGCATCCCACGATTCTGCAGCATGAGCAAAAAACATTTTTGTCTTCTTTGGAAGTTCCTCAGGTGCCTCTAAATGGTTTTCCTGACAACAATAAATGTCAAACATTCTCACATAATATTGAACCTACGTCTTTTGAATCACATTGCGTACATAAACTGCAGTACCAAAGCAGACCAAGGAAAGTCCTCACAATACTCCAAGTTCAAATTTGTTCAGATTATTCACGTTGAAAATTCAGCAGTTACCATTCATTAGAAAACAAACACTTGGTATTTACAATAAATAGATAACAAAGGAGGAATCCATCTAAACAATTTGCTCGAAACTTAAATACTATGTTTGCCTAGTCTAGGAAGGCAAACTCAGAATCTTATTTTCCAAACCAAGGTAGGAGGGCAAAATTCCTTTCACGGATACAGATTATACAACTCGAAGCAATTTAGAAATGCTTTTAGAAGCATCAGAATCGCCTGCCTTGTTTAGACGGTGGCTAGAGTTTAATTAAATGCCCCGAAAAACACATGGTAACAAGTCAGGCACTTAGTGCTCAATAAACATCTGAGTCATCCCAAAAGAATGTGCGTTGAAACAATGCCCTCTGCTTGAGGCAAGAGTTTTCAGCTCCACTGTCAAATGCAGCTACTAGATATTATTGTTTTTTCCATCTTTCTAGCTATATTCACATCGTATCCAGCATTCTGTGGTTATTCCAGGCAACAGAAACAATTTAAAATTTAAGGTTCATTGAATTTCACTGATAAACCAAAATGACAATGACACTCAAGTTATGAAGCAAGGATACTTTGTTAAGGTCGACATATCTATATCGGATACCGTATCGAATACTTGATGATAAGTATAGGATATGCATCATATGTATCCGATAATTAATAAAATATATAGATACTTTGCAAATACTTCTAAACATAGATCAAGATGTAAAATTTTTAATTTTAATCTATACCCTCTCTTTTCGAGTTCACATACAATACAAAACATGAACAAAATTTCTTTTGATTTTAAAGACACAAGTATTTTTTTAAGTATTATCTACTATTACACTTCAAAAGATTATAAAAAAAATGAGTTAGTTACCCTATAATCTTAAAAATAAATATTTGTAAACAAACCAACTAGTTAAATGTGATTTTAATTCCTTTAATTGGTCACGCTCATTTTATAGATATATCATAATGAGATGATAATACATCTTTTTGAAAGTAAAAAATCCTAATTTTACTTACTACTATTAAAGAATTATTGAAAATTATAATTTTTAAATTATCAAATAATAGTAAAATATAAAATATATTTTACTATTATTTTTACTATCATGGCAGTACCTATTTCTTTTTTTTTAAGTTTTGTCATATCGCCGTATCTGTATCATATTGTACACGTATCTTGTATCCGTATTCATGCTTCCTTGCACTCAAGTATGCCATGCCATCTATTTGGAAGGAAAAATACTTGAGGACCTCCAAAGCATAATATTTCTGCATGGGACTGTGCATGGAGTTGGTACTCAAAGCATTTTAGGCCGGTGCAAATTTAAAGGAACACAATTTATCAACTTTCAAAAGTTTTGTCCTCAGTCCTCCAATTCAGTTGTCAAGGAGCTGTTGTTGTGTTCCTCTTTCCTCATGCATAACCAGAACACATTACATGAATAAGCAAAACTACTTCGATTCAGAAATATATTTTGGGAGGCTTAGCTGTCACATTTTAACAAAATGCAACAGCATGACTCTCTTCTTCCTGAACATACTCCCATTTAGTCATGTGTCCATGTAAATATTTCATGAGATTTGTTAACGCACACCAAAAATTAGAAACAACTATAATCAAGAAAATATATATATGTTCGACCAAACTTACCAGAATAAAGAAATCCTTGGTCAGCTTGTTTTCACTGTCAATTTCCCTGTCCAAGTTGTCTCCACGATTAGCACTGCAAGCCAACATTACATCAAAACATTGAGATCAAACCAATTAGGAAAGTGCCAAAACAGAAACTAAAGACAAAAAAAAATTCAAAAAAGAAACAGACCTTCGCCCAATGACAAATCGTATAATGATTCCTTTTTGATCCTCCATCTTTTTCAAAGCTGTGCCTGCAACAAGAATCCTTCAATTTTCAATCAACTTGCTGATAAGTGAAAGGGAAATTCAGGTCTCTTCATTCCACCACATCATGGCATCTTTTAATTTTCCCAAAAACAAAGCTTTGTAATTTCCTTTGCCCTCACTATGTCATTCTAATCATCTCATGTCCATGATTACTTGATAAACAGTAACTGAAGTTCCATAAAGATAGGATTCACGTGGTTTTTGTACATTTTACCTTGAACCAATAACATCGATTATTTGCAATGCAGTAATTCAGAAATCAGATCCTGGAAACTATATATCCAACTTATTTAGCAACACGCATATTCTTCCGTAACAGTTTCAAGCAACTAACTGAGGCCATAAAATGAGCGTAATTCATAGTTGACAAACTTAACAACTGCATAAAACATTCAAATCCTCATCAAATGCATATCCAAAGTTACACACTAACCAATAAATCTTGGAATACTCTCTCAGAGTCTTTTTTTTTTTTTTTCTTTCACTCTCAGAGTCTTTTAATTTGCAAATATCCTCCCTATTATCCACAATGATAATAGCAAACAGGATGAAATCATGTCCACAGCACTCTAAACAAATCAATAGCAAATTAACAACTCACAGACAGGCGATACTAACCAGTTGTCATCCACGCCTTACGTATTGCATCTCTTTCACTCTTGCGACCAAACCTTGTAAGTATTCCAATAATCAATAGCGGCCTTTTCTTAGGAGGAGTTTTATTTATCTCTGGCAAATGATTTGAAACAAAACCCTCTTGTCTAGCTGCAACTAATTCCATCTCAAGGGCTGACAATATCTTCTGTTGTTCCCTAACAGGTATAAGACCATTATCAAACTGATAAAGATAACTTACATAATATCAATGAAACAAAATATCTGTTCACAATTATGATACCTGCAGGCTATGATTTTCAATGTATCATCCACTGATATTGCAGATTGCCCCTAGAAATTGAAGAGCACTTGTTAGCTCAAGCCACTCCACAGATAGTCAAAATGTCAAATGCATGTCTGTGAACATGGCCGTAAAAGTGCACAAATACGAATGCAAAAAATTTACTTACCAATATCAACGCGTCTAAGGATTTAAAAAAAAACGGCTTTAAAACGCCTTGGCTGTGTGTGTATAAAAAACACTTATTGACTTGCTTATGTGGGAGGCACGTGCATCACATTCGCCATGAATTTTGCCAACTTAGCATTTCCATCTTTTCACCTATACTACATCTCAGACATTTCAAAACTGCTCATCACAAGCCATCATACTCCATGAAACTGTCTAAGTGTCTAGTAAATGATGCATATTAATGAGATTGATCATTAGACAACTAATTATCCAAAGGTAACTCATGGATCAAGTGCCTAAACTGAATGACTCCCAATAAAACAATTGTGTCACCATCATTTTTATAAATTCATTTGGCCTAGAAAAGTAGTCATGACTAATAAACGAACATAAAAACAGTAACAAAACTATAATTACCTGACCGGTTATTCTATCAAGCTCTTTGCCCAAGTAAACCCTGTTCTGTGCATCCTGCCATAAGCTACATCCACCAAAAAAATAATTACAAAAAAGAAGAAGAAAGTAATAAAGTATCCAGTACATCAATTGTTTTTCCATGTAGAAGCTTCTTTTTTTTGCCAGAAGGTGGAGTAGAGGTTTTTTAACCAAGTATCATATAAAAGTTGGTCTTTGTACTGCTTGTAATTTGCTAACGCTGTCCCTTTTAATTCATTCCTGATTATTCTTTAGGTTTCCTTCTTGTAAATTTGGAAGACTGATTTCCAATTTCCAGATGTAGTCAAGTAAAACAACAACATACAAACACCATAAACAAGTAAAAAAATGGAAATACATTGATAAACCTAGCAAATGTGAGTTTAAAGAATATAAATACATAAATTGGAAGAAAGAATTCAATGAGGAAGAGAAAAAGCTAACCGTCCGGCAACGTATAAAGAAGTCATGGTAGCGAGCATGGACAGCATGAGCGTTGCAATCGGGGATCGAACCACCATCCCGGAGAGCCGGTTATTCGATCCCTTGCTCTGCATTTTCCCCACTCAATTCGCTTCGGTTTATTGTTTAAAAATCGATCCAAGTCGTAAATCGAACTGATTCAGTTTTAGTGGCAGATCTTTCTTCGATCACCTCACAACCAACCAGAATAGTTCGGTTCCAATAACAGATCTAACCAGCTCAGCCAAGTTTGGAATCAGAATCTGGCAACACCGAGAGTCTGTGTGTGTGTGTGTGTGTGTGTGAGAGAGAGAGAGAGAGAGAGAGAGAGAGAGAGAGAGAGATGGTCCAGTCGACTCGAGTCGCGCCTGAACAAATTACCGAATCTTTAGCAAGTGAGGTTTCTTCGGGGGGCAATTCCGCTTTTGCTACTTGTAATCACGGGACGGTTGGAACCTTACACAAAAAGGCTACAGCCCAAAGACTTTATGGCTCACGCTTTTTCAAGTTTCGCTTGCGGTTTTTTATTTGGGCAAATCTCATTTTACCCCTCGGAAGATATAAAAAATTTTAGTTTATCTCTGGAATAAATAATTTTTTACATTGTCCACTCAAAGAAATAAAACATAATTTTAGTTTATCTCTCGAATAATTTTTAATATAAATAACATAATAAAACATGAATTTTAATTGTAAAATTCATGTTTTATTATGAATGACTCAAATCCCTTGTTTAATGTTTTTGGTTTTATTTCAGTAGATGGTATAATTGTATAATAATTATAATTTTTTAATAAAAAATTAGATTTTTATTTCAATAAATGACATAATATAACATGAATTTTAGTTGTAAAATTTATGTTTTTATTATAAATGACTCAAACACCTTATTTATTTTTTAGTTTTATTCTAATAGATAGTATAATTATATGTTAGTTATAATTTTTTTTAAAAAAAATATTAGATTTTTATTTCAATAAATGACATAATAGAACATGAATTTAATATTATGAATGATTTAGACCCGTTATTTAATTTTTTTAGTTTTATTCTAATAGATAGCATAATTGTATATGAATTACGATTTTTTAAGAAAAAAATAGACTTTTATTTTTTATTTTATTTTAATAAATGATACAATAGAATATGAATTTTGGTTGTAAAATTTAAAATATTTGATATTCTATCTTTGATTAGAGTATTTTTGGTCTAAATATAATATTTTAAACTTGAGTGTTTTAAGTGTTATACGTCTATAAACTTCAAAAGGTTTAGATATAATTTATTACCTAATTGACATTAATTATAGGGGTGTAAGTGTTACGCGTCTACAAACGTCAAAGAGTATATGTGTAATATTTCAAATGTTAAGGATTTGAGTGGTTAAATAACAAACTTCAAGAGATCTAGATTAAGGGGTGTTTAAATTTCTGATTACCCGCAAATTTCAATCCTACTCTACCCTATCCGATTTTATTGATCGACTATCCGAAAGAATTGAGTAGACTAACAAAATTTTTTTTAATATTTTGCAAAAAATCAATTAGAAATGCGGGATACCTACAAAATCTCTATATTCCTACCCTACTCTATCCACACATTTATATATATATATATATATATACACACACACACATGTTAATTCTTAAAATTAAAATTCAAAAATCTTAAAATTCTAATGTTTTATTGATTTGTATGACTTTCTTGTTATGTTTTATTGTAATTGTTTATGTATTATAAATTTTATTATATTTTTTTTAATATTATTGATTTATTGTATTAGTTAATTGACACAAGTTATTTAATTAAATTATTAAAATGATCAAAAAATTAATATTTAGAACATATGTGTGCACTCAATTTTTGGACAGAATTTGAGTGAAAATAATGCACTTAATCGAATAGAGGAGAAGAAGAAAAAATATTCGGCAAAGTATTCGTAGGGGATAAAATACATAATTCCTACCTACTCTATGCGGTAAACACCCCTAATCTGGATAATTCTTCAAAATTTTTTTACAAATCTCCCGAAATTTTTTTACTCAAATTTGGGTAATGGCTTAGGTTTAGATAGGAGATGCTCTAATGAAATCAGTCGATCAGATTTTTCATTTTTAGTGCCCAATATCATTACTCACAAAAAAATAACGCAAATTGATAGAGAGGAGAGATGTTCATGCTCTGGACTCTGGACTCTGGGGTGAAGCTGCATAGGAGATGAATAGCAACAAAAATCAAGGAAGTAACTCATCCAGTTCTGTTCCGAAGGCTTTGTTCCAAGATTGTCAGTGATGACTTGGTCAGAGCACATTTGACAAAGCGAAGATCCATGTCGTACAAAGCTTACTTTGATTGCGTGGAGTGCAATCATTCATAAGGTGTATAGGACTAGTTAGTCCTTATTTTCGAAACCTCAGAAAATCCATGTCGCAGTCTTGTAGACTCCCACTTCAGTGCACCCCATTGTTATGACAGCCATTGCAAACCCTCGGCGTCTTTCTCGCCATTTCTCAAAGGCTAATGAAGTAAGAACCTTGGTTTCATCAGTCCAACTCCCTCAAAGGAACACGGTTCTTTCTGAGTCTTTGTATGACCATTTATTGGATAAATGCCCAGATATCAAACTGTTGAAGAAGCTCCACTCCCAGATTATCTATGATCCAGACCTTTGCTCCAATTCATCCATTGGCATCAAACTAATGAGAGCTTATGCTGCTTGTGGGCAGCCCGAAGTCACTCGCCAGATATTCGATAAAATTCCTGACAGAGATATCGTCTTTTTCAATGTGATGATCAGAAGCTATGTGAACAACAACATGTACCGAGATGCTCTTTTTGTATATAAAAACATGACTACTAATAACATTAAGCCTGATCATTATACTTTCCCTTGTGTTTTAAAAGCGTGTTCTGGGTACAATAATTTGCGGGTTGGTTTGCAAATTCATGCCCCAGTTATGAAAAAGGGTCTTGAATCGAATTTATTTATTGGGAATGGGCTGGTTGCCATGTATGGAAAGTGTAAGTGGTTAGTTGAAGCTCGAAGGGTTCTCGAAGAAATGCCTTGTAGAGATGTGGTTTCTTGGAACTCAATGGTTGCTGTGTATGCACAAAATGGACAGTTCGATGATGCTTTAGAAGTATGTAGGGAAATGGAATCGTTAGGAATAATACCTAATGCTGGTACAATGGCTAGTCTCTTACCCGCTGTTACTTACACAGCTAGGGACAATGTTATGTTTATTAAGGACATGTTTGTGAATGCTAAACAGACACTGGTTTCTTGGAATGTGATGATAGCTGTGTATGTCAATAATTCTATGCCTTCTGAGGCTGTTGAACTCTATTCACAGATGGACGCTCATGGATTGGAACGGGATGCAATAACTGTTGCTAGCATTCTTCCTGCTTGTGGGGATCTTTCGTCTCTGTTACTCGGAAGGCGGATCCATGAGTATGTTGAAAGAAAGAGACTTATGCCGAATTTGTCGTTAGAGAATGCATTGATCGATATGTATGCCAAGTGTGGAAGTCTACAAGAGGCGAGGAAAGTGTTTGATGGGATGCAACGTAGGGATGTTGTTTCATGGACTTCAATGATCTCGGCTTATGGTATGAGTGGGCAAGGTCGCAATGCTGTCGCGCTTTTTCACAAAATGCGGAAGATGGGTCTCACTCCTGATTCCATTGCCTTTGTTTCAATTCTTTCAGCTTGCAGCCATGCTGGATTATCTGATGAAGGGCAATATTGTTTTAATTTAATGACTGAAGAGTATGGGATAGCTCCAAGGTTAGAACACTATGCTTGCATAGTTGATCTTCTAGGACGAGCTGGACGAGTGGATGATGCCTATAATTTTGTAAAGGAAATGCCAATGGAGCCTAATGAAAGGGTATGGGGCGCTTTGTTGAGTGCTTGCCGGGTTCACTCAAACATGCATATTGGGCTTGTGGCTGCAGATTTTCTTTTTCATTTGGCTCCTGAGCAGGCTGGTTATTATGTCTTGTTATCCAACATTTATGCAAAGGCTGGGAGATGGAAAGACGTAACAACCATCCGATCAATAATGAAGAGCAAAGGAATCAAGAAAATGCCTGGTGTTAGCAATGTTGAGGTCAATGATCGGGTGCACACCTTTCTTTCCGGTGACCAATTGCATCCACAATCCAAGAAAATCTATGAAGAGTTGGATGTATTAGTGGGGAAAATGAAAGAAGCAGGCTATGTCCCTGAGACAGAGTCCGCCCTTCATGATGTGGAAGAGGAAGATAAGGAAAATCATCTAGCTGTTCACAGTGAGAAGTTGGCTATTGTGTTTGCAATTATCAACACAAAACCAGGGACACCAATCAGAATTTCCAAGAATTTACGTATTTGTGGGGATTGCCACATTGCTGCGAAGCTTATCTCCGAGATTGCTGATCGTGAAATCATAATTAGGGATACAAATCGTTTTCATAGTTTCCAGAATGGGGCTTGCTCATGTGGTGACTATTGGTGAGCTTATGTAAGTATTACCCCCATACTACGCACTACTGTAGCTGAATCTTTTTTGTGTCAAGTCACTGCAAAGGTTTATTTTTACCACCATTGCTGCTGCTTCCTCTCCTTGGCTTGGCGATCACAAGTTTTTTGTCCGTATAATGGAGGCACCTTGCTGTTGAGGCACTAAATTCACTGTCCCATTAACTTTCCAAGGTCTATTATGATGAGTTTAATTGTTTTGGTCATAATATGGCTACTTTCATGAATATGGATATTTAGAGAGCAATCTTAGAGCAGGGTATGGTCAAGTCTTGTTAGAAACTTCGGTGATTGTAATCATACACTTGTCAGCTAGACTCAAAATGGGTTCATTAACAGATTTTTTGGTGTGAGCTTGCCCACTTATGAGCAGTGTGCAAAATATCATTATAGCGGAAGGGTCAACTTACAAACTGAGATCAGCAAATGAGAATGCAGTTGTATGGTACTGCTAGTGCTTTAGCTTTTCATTAAGTTCATATATTTGTTATGAGTTCATTAGCTATTTAGGCTTTTCATGATTTTGTTTTAACAGAATTTGTGGACCTGGAACTGATGGTTCAGAGTGACTCGGACAACTGTCAGAACATTGAATAGTGAGTATCCTTTTGTTTAAGAAATTTCCCTAAATAATTAATCAATGTGTTGCAATTCTTTTATCTCTGTAGGCTGAAGATTCATTCAATGAAAGCTGTTGAAGGAAGAGCGTGCCCCAAGTCCAAGCTCTTTGTGGTAGCTGCAAGGCTATCATCATTCTTGTCCAGAGAAGTACTGTGACATTGGGTTCTCCACAGCATCAAAGTTCAGGTCTTGCTGAGTGCCGAGTGGTTTGGGAGACTGCTTTCATATCTTGTGCATGGCATGTTCCCGAAAATATGATGGTAATCTCTTCAATTCAGGTGAAATACTTGCACAAGACATTTGATCTCTTTGGAGATGTATTTGCAATCTGGGCATTGTCGTGTTCAGATCAAACAAAGGCAACACTTGGTTCATCACTTAATTTCACCTGTGTAGGTAGGTTGTCTGGTATTTCTTTAACCTGATCACGTGCCATGTTGAAACAGCATGGTAACTCTCTTGCTATTCACAGGCTACACAACTGTTAATTATGCAACAAAGAACCAAGGGTGAACTGTGACTATGCTTTTTCTTGAGACCAAAATAATAACTAAAAGTCGTTGTATGGTTGGTATCTATCTTATCAGAACCGGACCGGTCATCGAACCGGCAAGGGGACCGGGTCAATGGTTCACTGGTTCAACCGTTGGGTCAATTGGTCGGACCGGTCATATAATAAAAAAATAAAAAAATATATATAATAATTATAAAACTTAATAATTTAGCTAAAAAATATAAAAATATGTATAAAATACATAAAATTTGCCATAAAATTAATGAAATTAAGTAACAAAGTGGGGGTTATTGTATTTTAAAGCAAAGTAAAGAGGTTCAAATAAATTATAAAGAAAAAGAAGGAGTGTCATTTATAATTTTTTCAAGAATAAGGTTAAAAAAAATTAATTATTTACTGATTTAGGGCAAAAAAATTTATTTATGTAATTTAATTTTTAAAAATCGATTTTTGTTAAAAACCGGCCAGTTTTCTGATTTTTGTTAAAAACCGGTCGAATTTGGCTTTTAGTCGGTTCGCTTCCTTAAACGGTTCAACTAAGGAACCGGACCGATTAAGGTCCCGGTTCACGATTGAATCGGTCCGACCGACCGATCAGGTCCGGTTCTGATAACAGTGGTTGGTATATTTGAGTCTCATATGGTTTAAAAACTTGATTTGTGTGTGTGTGTGAGAGAGAGAGTAATTGTACGCTTGATGTTATGGTGAAGAGACCTATTGGTGTTGAGGTGAGCGATTGTAGACTTTGAGGTTGGATTCTTTGTGTTCTATTGCAGACCCTAAATTTTTTGGTTGAGTCATGTAATCAGGATGGTTCAGATAGCTTAGAGATAGGAAGGTCCAACTCCTATTTGTATCGTTTTAAAAAAATATATTTTTGGTCTCTTTGTATTAGTTTGGTCCCTTTTTTTTTTTTAATTTTGTCAACTTAGTTTCTCAACTTTTTAATGTGTCACTTTGATTCAATCAAAAACAACAATTGAAATTTACCAACGGAAATCATTATGTGCATCACTCGTGATCACACTTGAGATTTATTTATTGAAAACCATAGGGATTGAAGTAACACAAACTATAAGCTTAAAAGACTAAAATAATACAAGTTGTAAATTTGAGGATCAAAGTAACCTTTTAAGTGTGATTAGGCGAACATCTGAGATAGTCAATTCAAACTGTCATATTTAATTGGATCAAAATGACACAAATTAAAAACTTGAGAGATCAAATTAATATAATTTAAAGATTAGGGATCAAGTTAACACAAAATATATACTTGAGGTGTGTTTGGGTAATGGAATAAAAGGGTTAACACCATAAGGATAGTTAAATAAAGTAATGGGTCTCATTTATCCTTTGTTTGAGAACCATGTTTTTGAAGCTGCGTAACAATCTCGGGTTAAGCCTTGACGTGGTTGCTGCAGTGGTCTATAACCCTTTTACACCGGTTACAATTAACCCACCCCCCATGGGTTACAAACCCAGGCAGCAGGATAACATTCATATGATTCATTTGCCCTCATTCAACCACTCACACACAATTACACACATCAATTGAGCTCGTCTAGGGGTTTGGGATGAAGGTACTGCAAGGAGGAGATGGAAAAGGTGTTGCGCAGAGGCGATGGGTCAAGAACAACGTTGAATGGCTTAGTTCTCGTCGACGATGATAAGGGTCTATTCGTCAGCTTGTGATCTTCTTCGTAATCGAAGAATATCGCCATGGATATAGAGGCAGACGACGATTTTGACAGATGGGTGGTGGGAGGTAGTGATGGTGGTGAGTGTTTTTATTGTGGTGGTGTTTCTGTTACGTTGAAGGTTTATTTGGCGAAGAGGAAAAGAGCTCGACGGGTGGGGTAGGCAGGGGTAGAAAGATGGGAGTGGAGGTGGTGGTGGTGGGAGAGATGGGACGGTAAGTTCTGGTGGCGTTGGTGGTGGGTTTAATGGTGGTGGTGGGATGTATATGAGGAGATGCAGACTATGCAGATGTATGGTTTTGGCTTCTGCGTTTGATATATCTATAAAAAAGGGAATTTAACCAAGGAGAATTATACTTAAATCTCCTAAAATTTGTCTTTTAATTATTTAAATCCCTGATATTTGAAATATTACATACAAATTTTCTCAAGTTTATACACGCGTAACACTTAGACCTTTCAAGATAAATATATTCGTTAGTAAATTACACTTAAACCTCTTTGAAGTTTGTAGTAGATATATAATACACAGACCTTTTAAATTTAAAATATTATAATTAGATCAAAAATATTACAATCAAAGATAAAAAATTAAATTATTATTTTACAATCAAAATTCATATTCTATTGTATTATTTATTGAAATAAAATTAAAATTAAAATTTTAATTTTTTTCTTAAAAAATTGTAATTAGTATATAATTATACTATCTATTGAAAAAAAACTAAAAAATTTATATAAGGGGTCTAAATCGTATATAATTTTTATTTGTTTTTAAGTATATGCAAAAAATGTATAATTTTATTAGGATAATCCACCGGTCCAAACATATGATATGATTGGTTTGGATTGGAATGGGTAAAATCATGGATAAAATGGTAAACTATTACAAAATTATTTGTATAATCTATGAGGTCCATTGAATTACATATTTGTTTCTCAACAAAAGTTGAGATTGGATATATTCCAAAGTTAGGGTTTTAGAGTTGATAAGTGAGTTTAGTTTAGATGAGTTAGGATATAAAAAAATAAATCATACTCTATCCAACCCGATTATCCAAACACTCTCTTGAGGAACTATTATATAATTATCTAAAAAAAAATAAGAAATATTATTTGTACCTAATTTAATAATTTTATTTTGTGATACGATAAATCATAGTTATTGAATTAATAGGGTCTTGGGATTTACTGTTAATTTAACCATAAAAAATAATAAAGTTACAGAATAAGATTCGTACAGTGCTACTAAAAAAACATATAGGACAAAGAAAACCATGAAACAAGTGAAAGTTTTTTGTCGGAACGTTGAAAAACAAACGAAAGTTGAAAGAAAGAATTGCGGCATCATGAATCACATTGTTTTGTAAACGAAAGTGAAAGCCAAACGCAGAACAGAACGAAAGAAACAGGTCAACGACTGACACACACATTCACGGAAGGCACATCGCCGATTCGCCATGGCAACAGCTTCTTCAATGGCACAGGCCCTGGTATTGCCTGGACTCTTCACGGGCTCGTCTTACTCTCACTGCTCTGCTGTGCCTATGCGTCGTCTTCCACCTCGCACTTCTCCTACTTCATCGTTCTCAGCTTCTTACAAGCCGCACTTCTCAACTAGTAAGCTCTTGCTTTCTCTCTCCTCTGAATCGAACAATTTTTTGAAATTGGTACTCCATAATCACTAAACATCGGTGGTGAAATACGAATCGTACAGTTGTTAATCCAATTTGATTGAAAATCCCATGCGGTTGATGTGACTTTGGGCCTTTATGTGCTTTCTGTGTGAAATTTTTTTGCTGATGATGTAATTTCTCTGCGTTTATGTCTTGGGTAGACGCTGCCGGCTAATTGTATGATCGTTTTTTTTCAATATCTCCTTGAAACAGAGATCAAGAGATTGTCCCTTTTCAAGATCAAAGCCTCTTCTTCAGAAGAGACATCTGAATCTGTTGAAGGTGGGGAGGTATTCTCGAATCTGAAGGACAAGGTGAGCCTCCCAAACCTAATTGTATGAATTGTCGTATCGGATTAGGCATGTAGGCCAATGAAAGTTTGATTGCCATCATCAGTTAGACAACTGGTTCAACACTTCTCTAGTTTGAGCCCTAATTTTGTCTGGTCTCATATCACAGTGCCCAATTTCATGGTATAAAGGTCCCCTGTCATCATTTTGTCAATGATTCATAGCTTTAAGTTAACATTTTTTCAGTAAAAGGACAGCAAATTCTTCTGTACAGTGGTATTTTGTTTTGTAATTAGTGACCAAGAACAGTAAAGGGAATCAAAACTTGGCCATTGATGGGGTGTTGATTGTGTTAAGCAATGTGCTTTTGTAGAAGCTGGCTGAGTTTATAAAATCAATGCAACATCCTTATTTTGGCTTGTTTCTTTGATTTACATCCTCTTATGTCCTTGACAATCCACAGTGGGATGCAATTGAGAACAAGTCCACAGTAGTACTCTATGGAGGTGGGGCGGTAGTTGCTGTTTGGTTGTCTGCTGTCATTGTTGATGCTTTCAACTCAATCCCAGTGGTAGGTGATCTGATTTCAAGGGTCTGTTATTTTGATTGAAACCAGTTTCAAAATATTGAAGTATAGGAACTTAGTTGCACTAAGAAAGGAAAAAGTACACATAATTAAAGTTGCGGCCTGAAAATTTTAGTAAATGTAACTAATCTATTCAGCTTCTATGGCCAGGTTCCAAAAATCATGGAGGCGGTAAAATTTTTTTGAAGAAGTAAAAGAAGAAACTTGGTTGCACCAAGAATAGAAAATGTACTCAGTAATTTAGTTGTGCTCTGAAAACTATAGTAAATGTGACTAATCTATTCAGCTTCTATGATCAGTTTCCAAAAATCATGGAGGTGGTTGGGCTTGGATACACTGGCTGGTTCATTTACCGTTACCTTCTCTTTAAGGTGAGAGATTACAGTCGCAGCATACATAACTTATTTTTAGTTATTCTCTTTGCTGAGTAATTGAAGTGGCGGGCGGGTATTATGATTGTGACATCTAAGGCAAAAGAATTACCCCAACTGTTGTGCATGTATTCTTAAGAAGCATAGATAATTTCTCACATGTATTACAAAAAAAATTCCTTTATATTTAGCATTTAACATTAAAGTCAAGTTTTTCATGAAGGATTTGGCATCCCCCTCTATTTCAGTTCAAGTAATACTTCACAAATTCCTAAAATCATACCACATTCACTTTTTCTTCTTTCTCTAACTGTTGATTTCCTTGAAGACCCTTTAGAAATCATTTTTCAGTGACAGTGATGAACTATTTATTATTCTAGCCGTTACTTCTATTGCTCTTGGGCCAGGCCATAGGAAATCAAAATCACGAAATCACATTATATCGGTAGATTCTGAGACATGAAAGGTAAGGTGCCTCAGCAGTTCATGGCATGTGTATGTTAAAAGTTATAATCTCTTACAAAAACTCGATCACTAACGCTACATTGGACCATGTCAAAACTCGGAAAGCTTATGGATTAGCTAACATGTATATAAATTTTTGATCTTTTGTCATGAGTATGAGTATGAGTATGAGTATGTTATACAAACGATATGATTTTGACAAGTAGATTTTATTCTCGCAGTCTGGCAGAAAAGAACTAGCCAGTGACATTGAAGACTTGAAGAAAAAAATTGCTGGAAATGAATAGAGCACATCAATTGTGCATATCTTTTGATGGCCTACTTTTGAGCATTTATCAATACCATAATGAATGTCTCCCTGAAAACACGAGGGGTTATGTAATGTATGCAGTGACTATTTTTCTCATTTCTTTCTGTAGCAATCTGATATCTTTCAGCAGTGATAATGAAAGATATGCCTCAGAAATAGATTCAAATTCATTGCACACTTGCCTCTGCTTAAGTTCGTGTTTGATTCCATTGAGATTAAGGATCCGATAATCCGATCTGAACTGAATAATTCAATTAACTTGAATTTAAGCATATTGTATCTGTTTTTCAATCCTTTATCATCAAGTAATCAAGTAAGTCCATCATATATTTATATACAACATTAGACCATGATTGAATCCGATATTGCTATTGTAAAAATTGGATACATTTCAGCACAATATTAAGGATTTGAATTTGAATTTAGATCGATGATAATAATATAAATTCATATCCAATTAATATAACTCGAGTTTGGATTAGATTCGAATCAAATTTCGATGCAATTTGGACAGGGTAGACCCAAACTCTTATTCCAATGAGTTATTGGACCCGGGGGAGGGGGCTAACTTTGAGTAGGATAGGTTACCTACAATCCAATCCGTCACTCACTGAGCGAGCGGGCTTTATATATATAGTATCATTGTAAATTATATTTTTAAATTCAAAGTAAAGTCATAGTGGATAAAAAATAAATAATGAATAATTTTATTTGATAGGAATTATTTAGTATTTAAGTAAAAATGAATAATACCTAGATTACTCAAGTTAGTATTTAAGTAAATAAATTTTTTTTTAGAGGAATATGTCACTTAGCTTTTAATGACCAATTTTTTTTCCAAACAAAGTGGGTGAACGGGTGGGTTCTTGGGGTGAATTCAACCCAATTTTTATGGGTGGGTTAATGGGCCAAATTTCAGGCCGAGTAATGAGTTTGGGTACACGTTCAAGCCTCTTTTGAAGGATACTAGTTGATGCATACGTATGTTGCACGTGAATCGTTTTGAATATGAAAACTATCAATATAAGTGTTATTTAATCATATAAACCCTCAATTTTTTCTTTGTGTTCTTGTAGGTATTCAACAAAAAATTTTCAGTGAAATTTCTTATCTCTTTTGTTACGATTAAGATAGTATTTTCAAATCTTGTTCTGGTATCAATCTGGCATTTTACATTACTAAATATTAATCTAAAAATAACAATTGTAGACAATTTACTGTTTCTCCATAAACCAATAGAGAAAACATGACTAAAACATATAGCCACATTGTTTTAATCATAATTTACTGTCAACAAACTAATCTTTATTGTTAGGACCTTGAACTATTCACATGGAGATCAGTACCCAATAATGTGTTTCACTTTATAGCAAGTTATTATCCACAAGACAAATAAAATGTGCACTATTCACTAAATCATCTAACTTTATTGTAACTTATTTTATCTCATGTGTTTTTAGATGCTAGATGGTTAATTTAGATTAATGTTGTCTTATAATTCAAATTTTCATTTATCAAACAAAAACCATCATCACATATAAATGTTAATTCTATCTAAGCATACAACAACCATAAGTAATTTTTTGTCATCTAAACTAAACACCAAACAATGGTTATCCTATAAATTTCGCATATAAGTTGATAGAACAATTGTGTTATGGATATATTAATATTTGACATTATTGAAGCAAGACAATAATGTGGGAGTTGAGTCTCTAATATCTACTTCTATGTCTCTTGGCTTCCTTTTGTTCAATATCTACAAATCAATACAGGAAGGGAAAAACAATATTCCTAATAAATGGTTTGAATGCATCTCTCCACATTGAGAACAAATTGTAAAAAAATAACAAGCTAAAAAATTCTCAACAAAGTTGTTATAAGAAAATTAAGGTTTTGTAAATGCAATGACAAGTATAATCGGTGCACAACTACTATTTTCAATTGTGACTTTCAAGCTAATATAACAAACACAAGGTTTGTATTCATAAACAAACACTATACAATAGCTAACGAACAACTAAATTACTTGATTTTAAAAAATTTTGTCATCATTTTTCTCTCGTCTCATGGTAGAATTTTCGGGCTAAGAAAGGTGTGACATAAATTTATTTAGACCAATAACAGTAGCATAGAGTTTTCTTTCCCCTTGATATCTAGCTCAAATTCGTTGCAAAATCGCGTTAGTATAAATGTTAAAGTTTCCAAATTCAAAAACTTTTGAATCATATATCCTATGATTAAAAAATCAAAGTAAAAAAACATGGTTGATTAAGTTATCCTAACTGGGTGGAAGTTCAAGTTTAGTTAGAAGTTTGTCTGTGTCAAATAATTGATATAACTCATCCGGATAGGAAGAAACACAAATCCAAATGCATATAACTACTCATGCTAGATGAAATTGATCAGAAGCACACTATGAGCAATGACATTTGATTTCTTGTCTTTGTTAATATATTTCTCCATTAAGTCACACATTATAAAACAATCTTACAACCCAAAATATTAGCAATCTTCAGTGATTAAATAAAACATACTCTATTAGCAAAGGCAATAAGTAAAACATGAGACAAGAGGAGCACTTGGGAAAACAAGATATCACTCAATTAAATAAACATAAACAATCAGAAAATATAACAAGTAGAACAAAATTTAACCAGGTCCTTGAAGAAAGATCAAGGAAAAGAAAACAAGTCAAGGAAAAGAAAACCAATACATATTAAGGCAGCCTTTTTCATTTCAGCAAACGGTGAGAAAGGAAGAGAGAGGGCAGAAGTCTACTAAATATTAGACCATAAGGATTTTTAAAAGAGAATCAATCAAACAAAGAGGTGAGAATATGAAACGATTGAAGTTCCAATTAATATTTGCTGGTTGAATACTTAATATAGGTATCTGTAGGGTTGAAATGTATATGGTTTTGTGTATAAAGTGAATATGGAAAGATGAAATGTCCATTTTTAAGTTTTAGGATATGATATATTCAATGCACATTGAATATAATGGTCCCTAGTGCATTAAACTCGAATAAATGTACTAAAAGAAAACCTTTCATTTTTCATTGCTATTGGCTTACCCATTTTTAATGCTAATAAATATACACAGTTGTAGCTCAAACTAACCGGTGCACTCACTTTTTATGCCAATAAATATACTTAACTGTTATTCAAGTATGAATATGAAGAATCATGACATTTAAAGATTTATATAATAATACACACACACATCTATATAATAAAACAGATAACAACTTAAATTTTTATCCCCTAAATATTTTCCCTCATAAAAATATTGCATAACTCATTTTTACTACATGTTCAATTATTTAATATTTGATTAATTTGTAGTTTAACATAATTTTTTTTTCAAATATTATCCATATACGATAATATACATATATTTTAAAAAATTAATATAGTGGGATCAATTTTTTGGAAGCTTAAATTTTATATTTCATCGTGCTTTTAAGTACGGGTTATGACTGATATATATATAAATTAAATGAAAAACTGATAGTATAGACATTAATAGTTGTATTAAGGTTATTATAGTCAAACAAAAAATTTTCACTTTTGTTGACATTTTATCATAGTATAAATTAGGCTTAGATTCGGACAGGCCAACTATTGGGCCTATCGGATTTCAAATCTTTTTTTTTTTGGGCCAAGTAACAGGTCTCATGAGCCAACCCAATCTATGGACACCCCTGCTATTCTTTGTCCAACATGCTTTAGCCTATTTTTTTTTGGATTAATTGTACTAGAGATCCCCAAAGTATAAAGTTTATCTCATTTTAATCTTTAATGTTTCAATTGCATCATTTTAGTCCCTGAAATATTGAATATGTTTTTATATGGTGCTTCAAGCAAACAATGTCCAGATTGTTAACGATTTTTTATCATAAATTTGTCACGTAATAACTAAATATGGACAAAAAATAATTTTGATAGCTCTTAAAAAAATTTGGGTAGCTCTTGACAAAAAAATATGTAATATGGGTAGTTTTTGACCAAAATTTGGATAACTCATGATCAAAACTGTGTAATTTAAGTAGGTATTTAACCAAAATTTGAATATAAATTTAATCAAGAGTTATCCAAATTATTTTTTTGTCCACGTTAAAGTATCATATGACAAGTTTGTGATAAAAAAATCATTAGCAATCTGGATAGTCTGTTTAAGGGATCATAGAGAAGCATATTCAATACTTCAGAAATCAAAATGATACAATTGAAATATTGGAGATCAAAATGAGACAAACTCTACACTTTGGGGACCTCCAGTGCAATTAATCTGCTTACACATATTTCAACTAATCCCTTCTTTGGTCCGATCAAAGGCATATCCGTATCGAAATTATGATATTAATGAAGAACAAATCTCTTACGATCTAACCCAAGAGATTATCAAAATTTGAATTCAATTCATCTGAATTTATAATTTATTTATATTACCACTTAAACTATCTCTCAGTTTAACGTTTCATTTTCTACTTCCAGACCTTCTTTCCTGATTCCTTCGTCCATTACTCTCAGTTGAGAAGTTGACTTTAAATTTTTGTAAGCGACACAAGTATTTTTCAATTTGGAGACGGCTAAATTGAGTAACAAATTCTGCAAGTTCTTTGACTGTCAAAGACGTGTTCTCTTGCCAAGAACAAAAACTCTCAAACCTTAACAAACTTCCACATTTTTTTAATCCTTCTGGTGTCCTTGTACGAGATTGAGATTGACTAAGTAATCATCTAGGATAGATCAAGTCACCGAAAACTATGAATTGCTTAATCAGCAGTCGCACAAAAGAACATTTCCCAGTTCTAGAGTTGAGGGTTTTCTACCTAGGAAGTTGTCTGAAAATGATGCCTCCGTGGACCGAGTCTGTTATTAGGTACTAAGATCCCTGTAGCCTCATAAACCCACCTCACCAGTTAGCTATTAATAATTTCAGTTAAAAGATCAACCAACTCTGTGCAAGTGTACATCTTCAATTCTTCATCTTGGACTCTGCAGTTCCACCAGTTTGTAACATACCAAAATAAGTGTAAGAAAATAAATGGTCGTATATTGCGGAAGATTTATATTTAGAAAACAGTTTACAAGTAGTAAGTAGTAAACAATCTTATCTCGTTTTAAAAAGGTTAATTTTTATATTGGAAAATACGATGTATCACTTGGACATGTGATCTCTAAGAATTCAATCCAATATAGTCGTAAAGAGTAGCATTCTTCAATTATAC